TATTAAAAATTATTGTTTGCCAGGAAATATCTTTGGATTAAGAATCTTGAAAGAAATTCTTGTACAAACGGCATACTACGTCAAAAGTAAAATTAACATTAAGGGGTCGAAATTTTCGGCCAATCTCCTAACTTAACTATTGGGACTACATTTTCCTGATTGCAGCTATTTTGAATTGGAACAGCTACCTAATTATTTCCAGACTGGTAAAAAAAAGACTTGCTTATTCAGTGAAAGTAAGTTCTTGGTTCTGATTTTGCAAATTAAAATATCGACTAAGATAAAGGTTATCCTTTCGAACCATTGAAGTTGAGTCAAAGTGCGTGAAAATCTGATTATTAGACCAAAGGTTATTTGTAGTGTACACTTTTTAGTTTTGCGCACTGTACATGGAAATTATAGTTTTCGTTATTTATTTGTTTATTTCTTTTTATTCTTATTCGGCTACCATATTAAATAGAATGACCAAACATCAAATCTTTAAATTTCATCTATCTGTTTTAATGATACATGATATTAATTGATTGATATTGATTTTTTTTAATGAAAAGTGGCAATATTTACAGATTATGAAAAATTTATATTAAAAATAATCTTAAAAAGTGTTCCAAATGTACCTTTTATAAAGACATTAGGGAGATTTCGCAAATATACACAAGCTCAAGTAATTTCGCATGCGCACTTTTACTGCGCATGCCTCTGTTTAGGTAAAATGAAAAAATATCACGCCCATGAAAAAATATCAAACTTACATAAGTGAAAATAAGAGATTTTGAAAAAAAACCGCAAGTTAAAAACGCTAACGTAGTGGAATATCATTTTAATTCTGACCATAAAATCAAAACAAACATTTACAATGGATGCCGACTATTTTTTTAAAGCTGTGGCATACGATTCAAAATGCTCTTTGCTCTACATAAAACTGCGGATCTGTGAACAGAAAAATCGGGTAGATTATAGGTTAGGATGAATTCAGCGATAAAGAATGCAGCTTATTATTATTATTAATATTTAAAAAAGTATTATTGAACTTCAATTGATTATTTAACTTCTTTTAACTAAACTGTATATTTAAAATAAATAGTTATAATTTTGAAATAGCGAAAGTATATCTAGTTTCTTATGGAACTAGTGCTATTGGATAACCATAATGTTAAACAAAAGCAATAAAATTATTTTTTTATTGAATGAATCAGCGGTTGTAAGGTCACACGATTCGTTCCTAAATTTCATCCATACATTTCTTCAAACTCGCATTTCATGTTCACGTTTTTAATTCGATGGTAGGCTTCAACAGGAAACAATATTTAACAGCTATAAACAACGTGCTTGTAGATTTGTCTTTGTAGGGTAAATCACGCCAACTTAACGTAAAGATACGTAGCATCTAAAATAAACGCTAGAATGAGGAGTTGTTTCGATGGGAATGTATGGAAGCTAACGTAAAAGTGCGAAATCTCCCTATTCACAAAACTCTTTGGAAAACTAATATTTTTAATGGGCGTAAGCCCGGTAGCAGAATTTACGGAGTGAATCTGCAGCACTGCCTCTGTAAATCCAAATTTGTCTGTCACCTCAACTCAGTCAGGCAAAGGTTATTATTGCACAAAATTCAACTTAAGCTGGGAATATAAGCAATAGCAAATAAAAAGTCCTTTTCAAAACGATTCATAGAGACTTTATGATTGTGTTAAATTTAAGTTGAATTTTATTCGCATGATTCTAAAAGAGATTGGAATGTTATCAAGTAATTCCTACACAGCTATCAAGTAACAGAAAATAAAATTAATTACTTATTTGTTCTTTGCGTCGTTCTTCAGAATCAGCTTTTCAAATTATATTAGAAACAAGTTTAGAGATGTTTAAAAATAACTTGCAAAAATTTTCCACCATTTATTTGTTTTCTTTTTTAAAAAGAAAAAAAAAACTTAGATAAAAAAATAATCTGCAGTTGCTGTAATAATCAGCAGCGCCCACTGCTGTGTTGAAGACATGCTCTCTTCCGGGGAGCGAATTTACTATCCAGCAGCTTTTAACGACTCGCTTTTTTTTCTGAAGAAGTTTTTATTTCTTTAAAAATATGTTACCTGAGCTAAAACAATGCCAAAAATCAAAAAGTGCTTTATTAAAAAGAAATGCTAAACAAAGGAGTGGGCAGCTGTATTGGAAAATCCTTATCGGGGACGAAGTTAAGAAAGTACGTTTAGTAAACAAGTTAAGTAATTACTGCTTATGATAGTTAAATAGCATTATACACTAGCAGCGCTCTATACCTCGTTGAAATATCAATAAGATGACGTACAAGTATATTGGAACAATTTTCTTATTAAGAATAACAATAAACCTTTACACTTTATTCTATTGTTGCTTTTTCATGCGCATTGCGCAATTCTTAAAGCAATGGTAATATCAAACCTGTTTTGATCCATTTCCCTTGTACTCCTCTTTTCGAAAACTCATAACATTCAGATTGTAATTACTTCTCTAAACGTCCCAAAAACTAAATAATAAAGTTATAGAACATTTTGATTTACCATTATTTCCATAATATTTTTTTCCAAACATAAACGAATACAAACATATTAATTAAAAAATAATTGTTAACATTTAGTTAACAACCTATTAATATTAGTTAATTAAATATCAATTAAATATTATTATTATCATTTATAATGAATAAATTATAATTAAACAATTATAGTAATTAATACTTTAATTATTAAAAAATATATTAGTATAGTGTTATTAATCACTATTTGTTTGATTATTTAGATGTATTTTTTTTATTTAAATGTATGTTTGGTTCTCTAATTCTTCGTTAAAGCACTTACATGAGCAAAGCGAGGATCACTTTCAAATTCAAATGTATTTCCTTAATATCTATTAGTTTATTTAAAATCTACTCTTTTTAATCAATTTTTTTTCTTTATTCGTTTTCATTTATAACTTTATTGGAAAACCTGAGGCATAAAAATAAGTTGACACAAACGGAAACAATGCTCTTATAGCTCTTTCACCGTCTTCTACATTTAAGACCTAATTTCTATAACTTATTTCTTTTTATGGATATCTTTAGTTCTAAAAAAATTCAGTTCAAAAAATTCATCTCGTAAAACATCAAAAAAATTTCAACGGACATACGGAAAAAATAATAATGGGTTGTGAAATTAATTTAATTTCTTATCACAAGAAAACAAGTTACAAAAAAGTCAGCAATTACTAATTGAAAATATTCAGACTAACTTCCTTGTAATTATGAAATCAAAATGAATCACTGCAAAAGAGGTTCATTTTGGGGAGGAAATCAATTGTTAGGGATAATAAATTCCAAAAACTTATCCGAATTGTATCACAGAATAAGTATTCAAAAAATGATCAATTTTCCATACATATATATAAGTTCAAAATGAATTCTTTACATTTTATTTCCTGTTTTTACGTGCTATTTTAACTTATTGTGTTCTATTTTATTTATTTGTTGTCATTTTTGTGAAAATTTTTTGAGTGCTCCTCACACTATTGAATTGATATATTTTGCTTTGGCTATATTGATACAATATTAGAGAGCACTCTTTTTTTCAGATATAATAGTGTGGGCTGATGAAATGATTACATTTTTTATTTTCCGGATTTTTTAAAAAAAATTTATTCTTTTTTTTCGGATTTTTATTATTATAATTTTTTTTCCAGTTTTTTGTTATTTTTATTCTTATTTTTCTTTTCCCCCCTTTTTTCATGTGTCTGAAATTTTCCTTTGTTTTATCTTCATTTTGAACTTATTTTATGAGTTCTATTTACTTGCAGCTTATGCACAATAAATGAAACTTATTGTTTTTCTTTTCTTTATATATTTATTAATATATATTAGTATATAAAACTATATTAGTATAATTTTATATACTAATAATATAAATAGTATAATTTTATATATAAAGTATAATTTTATATACTAATAATATAAATACAGTCAATTCGCTATAACTCGAAGTACGATAACTCGATTATAACTATAACTCGAGTTTTNTTTAAATTCCTTAACAGAGTCCTATCAGATTCGAGTTATCGCGAATTCACTGTATATATCAGTATATATTATTATTTTTCTCAATTTTCCTCGTTTATCTCTCATTTCTTTTATTATCTTTTGTCTATATAATTATTATTATTATTTTAATTTGTAAATCAAAATTTAAGACATGTTTTTATTTTCTGAAGTTGCGTTGAAGTGACAACATTTCTGTCAATTTAAAATTTCAAAAAATAATGATCTGAAAAACAATATTAAATTTTAAGAAATACGCGATACACAGAATATACAAAATTGCAATAGTTTGGAAAACTCCATACTATAAAATAAAACTTCGTAATTCCAAGTTTGGATAATTTCTTAGAATTACGTCTGATGAGCGTTTATTATTGAAGTTCATTAGTTTGAATAACTCATGATGAGCAATTTTAGTATGGTTCATTTGCTCGAACTACCCATGATGAGCTAATTATCATACACTATCATTTGTTACGATGATCTATTATCAAACGCAACGTCAGAACTCCTCGTGATTAACATCTTTTTTGGAATGATCATTTTTGAAATGATGAGCTATTATCCTACAAGACCATTTGTTGGAACTCTTCGTGATTATCTTTTGTTTTGCATGATCTTTTGCTAGAAGTTCTCATGATGTTATAATTAATACTTATTAAATGCAGTTGTTACGCATGATCATTTGTTTAAAAAAAAATTCTATTTACAATAAACACGATAAAAGTTGATGGTGAACTTTTGTTACGCATGATCCATTTGTTAGAACTCTTAATGATGAGCAGTTGTTTCGCATGATTATTTATCATGGAGAGTTACAAGTAATGACCAGGTGATATAAAATACTCTATCAGTTGTTGTAGATATCTTATTCATCAGATAAAAAACATTTTTTCTCAACTTTAAAACGCACCTATTACTTTTCCCGCAAGCAATTCAAAACAAACATATCACCTACCTGTTCCTTTTAGTACCAAATTTGTTCAGGTATCCAAAGAAAAAAGTATCCTAAATCTTAAGACATATTATTCATTCTTTTAGGATATATCACAAAGATATCTGAATCCGAAGCACAAAAGCTGATAGGGTGGTGCAGAATTTTTCGATAAAAGTTTTAAATCCAGTAATAAATGATGCTGAAGATGAAGATGAGGATGAAAATGTTCTCCTAGAAATATTCTGGTCATGCGCACCACTTCTAACCACTGCTGGTGACCGTTTGGAATAAACATCGAACTCACTGTTTTGGTTCGAAATGCGCCTGCGCTCAAAAGGGTTAGGAACATTTAAGAATAAATCGATCCAACAATTTTTTCCCCTCGCTAAGCATAGAAATAGGGTTGCTTGTGGTTTAATTGACTTTTTTTCCTTTATCTTTTTTTTTTCTTTTCCTTTTTCAGAGTTGAATAAAAGTAGCCGGAAAGTACAGGGCCGGATATTGGTTCCGGAAAACTCTCCTAAACTCGTGATACCCATTAATAGTGATCGATCATTTCGAGAGGTTAAGTACTCCATAAAGTTCAAGAACTGACAATTATAAGTAACAAACAAAGTTAACGAGGGAAAAGTAGAAAAGTACGAATGTGGAAAAAGAATTTTAAAAATAATTTTTTTTTTTTTACAGAAATATTTTTATGACTATGTAAAATTTACAAATGCGATTGCTTTGCGATTTTTGAAACATTATAAAGAACATTATAATTTAATTTAGACATAATTGTTAAATAAGTAGAACATACTGTTCTATATGGTCTACTTACTATACACCACGTTTTTGTGAATTTATCATTATTTGTTGTAAAATATTTTTTATCGTGTCACTCACTATCGAAACATTAATTATTATCGAATTTCTGGAATCATATAAAAATTTAAGGGAAAAATCCAAAATTTTGCTGTTACTTTTGAATTGTCGAATCTAACGTAAGTTCTTTTTAATATGCTTTGTTCCGTGTTTTGTCTCTATATATATGAAAAAAAGTATTTAGTATCCGAAAACATAGCAAAAAAGATAAAAATGCGTAATATATAGCCTCAATGTATAAGACTAATATGAAACAATTTAAAACGATATTATTTTAAAAGGATTTAATGTACTAAAATATTTAGGAAAGTCTTTAAAATAAGCTTTAGGCTTGTTTTAGCTACAAAAATTTATATTTTCTTCCTTTCTATTTCGCCATTGTTTTGTAGGCAGCTAAAATGTTCATAAGAACTTGTGATGATTATGAATTCAATTATTTTTTATATAATTTAAAAAATACGAAACAGTTAATCAAAAAATTATAATTTAAAAAACATCTAAATCAAAAATCATAAATAAATCTAGAAGATTCATTTTTCTTTCCGCAAAAAGAAAAATTATACATAAAAAATGTTTTCATAATGCAAGTTTAGATTTATTTTCCATTTCAGATATTATTTTTCATTCATTTTTGTAGAATTAAACGAAAATATTCAAAATATTTTTTTTTAAATAATTTGAAACAAAAATCTGAAAAATCGTAGCGATTTTTTATTTGTTTATTCTAAACCAAAATAGAAAATATCAAGAAATGCGTATATTTGACCTAAAAAGCTTATGTAGTAATCGAAACATTGAATTATCAAAATCTTTTAATTTGGTTAGAAAATGTACAATACGAATGTTTTGTAATTAATGTTAATTATTTCGTTATTTGGAGATTAATATTTTCTCAATCATTGAATTTCAAAATCTTTTAATTGGATTATAAAATGTGTGATACGAATTTTTACAAATTAACGTTGATTATATTGCTATTTGGACATTAAATTTTCGTCAATTATGTTGTAATCTAAACATCAAATTATAAAAATCTTTTAATTAGGTTAGAAAATGTACAATACAAAATTTTCTAAATTAACGTTAGCTATTTTGTTATTTGGACATTAATTTTTCGTCAATTATGACTCATACATTTTACATAAAACAGTTAAATGAATTCTTGCATAAACTGGTTATCATATTCACCATCATGTTTTTTTTTAAAAAATCTAAAATTTAAATTACTANAATATCAAGAAATGCGTATATTTGACCTAAAAAGCTTATGTAGTAATCGAAACATTGAATTATCAAAATCTTTTAATTTGGTTAGAAAATGTACAATACGAATGTTTTGTAATTAATGTTAATTATTTCGTTATTTGGAGATTAATATTTTCTCAATCATTGAATTTCAAAATCTTTTAATTGGATTATAAAATGTGTGATACGAATTTTTACAAATTAACGTTGATTATATTGCTATTTGGACATTAAATTTTCGTCAATTATGTTGTAATCTAAGCATCAAATTATCAAAATCTTTTAATTAGGTTAGAAAATGTACAATACGAAATTTTTTAAATTAACGTTAGTTATTTTGTTATTTGGACATTAATTTTTCGTCAATTATGGCTCATACATTTTACATAAAACAGTTAAATGAATTCTTGCATAAACTAGTTATCATATTCACCATCATGTTTTTTTAAAAAAAATCTAAAATTTAATTTACAACAGTTATATTTTATAATGAGATAGTTAGAATTCATACATTTTCCGAATTTTTTTTAATTTTATTAAAAAAAAATTATTTCCATAATAGTTTGTGTTAAATATTTTCATAATTAATACAGACTATTTTTTCAATATTTTAAAAAAGGCGAGTTTAATGGCAACACACTTCACAAAAGTTTCAGAGTTTATTGTAAAAAAATTTATTATAAAAGAAATTATTCTAAGAATTAAAATTGTTATTTTATAAAAAACAATATTTTGTTTATTGTAAGCATATACTAAACAAAAAAATAAATATTTATATAAAGGAAATATAGAAATGAGCAAATTATTATATACATAAAAACCAAATATTTCATTTAATAAATAAATTTTGTTACTTATTTATATTTTTATTTTTTGAAACATTGCGCTACAATCATTTAAAATCCAACCTTAATTATTTTAGAGAAATTCTTAGAAAAGATATTTTTACATTTGATGAACTTTGAATTTTGAGTCTTATGCCATATTTGTTTCCAACCAATGTAACTCACAATTTTTTCTAAATATTTAGAAAGTAATGTCTAATGAACGCAATTACATCTTACTTGAATATACAATTACATATTATGTACACTATCATGTATGTTACAATATAATTTCATATTACTTAGTGCTTACTTATATGTATGCACTTTAATTTCAGAATTATAATATATTTCATTTACATTATATTATAATTATCAAATTAAAATACACTTTTTTTCAATAAAAAGTAATGATTGAGTGATAAAATGAAGCTAAACTATATTTTTATGTATTGAAAAAAAAAACATTAGAATACTGCATTCGAAGTTCTGTAATTAGTACTAAAAAATTGTTTATATTTCGATGTGATTCGTCAATAAATTTGACCCTCTATGAATTTCACGATAAAAGTTTTGAAATGTAAAAAGAATAACGCTTCGATGACATGTTTTCATTCCGCGTTGTATTGTTTCCTGATCATTTTAAAGAAATCAAATTAAAATGAATGCTCCTGTTATTAAAATTAAAAGATATTTTTTTATAAATCCATCCAATTTAAACAAATAAAATAGACATTGCTCTTGAAACAGTCACGTGTTTTGGAGATTGAGAAACTGTAACGGATTACAATTTTATGACAAGGAAATCTCCTTACTTTGTCTCACGCTCCTTTCCTTTGGAAGAAAGTATTCTTTAATAAGAAAAGATTTTGAATATGACCTGCGATTTTTTAATCTTTTTTTTTTCCTCAGAGGCGAATGTCATATCAAGGTAACCTACCTGATTAATTAAATTGTTTAACAAGTTACCTCCACAAAGTGTGCGGAATTAAAATCGAATTTAATTAACATAAATGTAATTGGAATTAAAATAAAAACAATGACGTCGGAAGTAGATCAATTGGCTCTACAATAAATATTTTGAAAAATGAAGCAGGATTACATTCATATTTAATATTAAAAAAAACTAGCGATTCCTTCTTAAAAAGGTTAATGTTCCTAGAAACTTGTTAAAAAATTGTCAGAAAATAACAAAACGCATAAAGTACATACGGTACAATATTAGAATAATACAAATACAGTAATGAAATACAAATAAAAATATAATACGTAAACGCTAAAAAAACTTGAACAATAAAAATCATTCTTAAGAATTCCAATTCACACAGAATAGGCTACAATAAATTACATACTATACAATATTAGAATAATACAAATACAATAATGAAATTCAAATAAAATACAAATTAAAATAAAATACGTAAAAGTGAAAAACATATGAATAATAAAAGTAATTTTTAAGAATTCCAATTCACGCAATGAGTATACATATCACAATGCTCCGCAATAGAGATTTAGCCCTACTATTCACCTCAAACTGGTTAAAGAAGAACAATACTGCAATTTTTTTTTTTTTTTTTTTAAATAAAAATTTTGGGTATGAGCTCATAGGTGCCATTACTGTTGGAGAAGTTAGGGTATTTCCCTCTCAGAAATATTAAAGGCACCCGTGATATTTCAGAGAAATAAAAAAGAAAAAATCATTCATCTCCGTTGTTTAAATATAGTTGTTACTATGAATGACAGAAATGGGCGGTTGTTGACTTCCACCGGTGAATGTTGACAATCACATAGTCGCTTTGGTATATGTCCGAAATACTACTGTTTGTCTACGATAGGTACTCTGCCAGACATTCGTCTGGAGCTGTGGCGGTGACTATGGTAACGAGGTATGATTATTTCGTGTAGGGATGCGTGCTCCCTCTTGGACTGGTTTCGGCGAAAGAAAAGGAGACCTCTTCATCGAAGCCACCCTCCCTAAAATGCCCTCTTCTTGTTTCCATAGCACCAGACTGCCGCAGACTCAGTGGCTGTCAGAGTACCTATCTTAGACAAACAGTAGATCCAGTTAAGTGCCACTGTCCGGTATACCATACGTCAATGTTTTTTTAAGTTCAAGTGCCACTGTCCAGTATTCATTTAACCGGTACTGATGTTTTTCCTAATCTCTCCTCAGCAGATATTAAAATATCGAATAAATATAATAATATCAACGAATAAATTAATATCAAATCGGATATAACAAATATTTCGGAGATTCTCTTGATTTCGGTTACTTACGGTAACATAGTTAAATTTTTAAAAAAAATTATGAATTTGAAAAAAAATAAATTTATAATAATTTAGCAAACAATTAGTAAAGATAAGAAAATTGTGTTTTTTAAATGTGAAATTTTGAGGCTTATTATAGCTGTGTATGTTGCTCCTTTTTACTTTAAATTAAAATGTTATTTAAAATAAAAATAAGTATTAAAATATTATGTTCTTACGCAATAAGTAATGCAATAATGTGGTAGTTAAATATTATATTGCAACAATTTAAATTTCAGAGAGACACTTTTCGATGTTCCATCATAAGGTTGGGTCAGGGCNACTGATGTTTTTCCTAATCTATCCTCAGCAGATATTAAAATATCGAATAAATGTAATAATATCAACGAATAAATTAATATCGA